TGGCTGACTCCTGGAGGATGGCTAGAAATTCATGAGATGGAAAATGGGTTTGACCCATTCCAGGCAGAAGAATAGCCTGTCCAGACACAGGAAACACAGGCATATCTCATTTGGGGAGCCTGGGGAGTGGCAAACCATACTATGTGTTGAAAACATGGTGTACTCACAGGGAAGTGGACCAGACAAGACTGAAGGGCCACCCGCGGCCAGATGAACAAGGATCCTGCATTCCTACCCTGAGGTGTTTGAAATTTATCCTGGGGATGATGGGAGTGGTTGGAGAGATTGGAGAAATGGAAGAATGTTGCAAGGTCCATGTTTACCAGGCTTTGTCTAGTGACTGAGTAGGACATTCCCTGGATGCCTGATTCACTTTCTTATTCTGGTCTTGGAATGTACCGTGCAGCTGGGTGTTTGTGGTTGGGAGATGAGGAGGTGGAAATCGTCCAAAACCTAGCGAGGGGAGTGGGGGTTCTAAGAGAAGATTTTGTCTAGAATGAGCCCTTACTTTTGTTTGCTTTTGGTAGGAACTGGGGGCCGGGGAGAAGGGTGAGTAGGAAAGAAATAGCCCCAGGCACTCCCAGCCCTGCGTAAGTGTTGCTCATCTACATGATATCAACCAGTTTCTTGTGTAAGATTTAGGACATGTTATTAAATATAATTTTACTAAAACTTTTGCCTTGTGGCATCAGTTATCTTGCCCAAATCTTTCCTTTTCACTATTTTGAAATTTTATACTGTACAAATGTTGACAACTAGCAATTATGTGGGTTGGGATCTTCTAGATGTCAGATGGAGAGCTTATTTTCGGTCTATATGTGTAGGGAAAACTAGGAAATGTAATCTCTCATTTAGCTTGAGCAAAATGGGAAGTAGCTCTCTTTTATTAATAAAATCCTAAGGATAAAAACAAATTTTATGAACAAACACACTGATTAGCTCCGCGGTTTTAGTTTAATCACAGCTTGTCCTTTCCTGAAGAGTATTGAAATGCTTATTTGGAAGATGGAAATTCCACTTGAAAAAGATTTTTTTTCAGTCCAGAAACTATTTTTTTAAATAGTTTCCATTGGAACTACTTTGCTGTAAAAAGTTACTGGAATTATTTTTATTTTATGCTGTTAAAACCATTCACTTCTGAGAAGCCTTTCTTGACTCTTCAACCCTCCCCACCCCATCAGAGCGACAAGTCTGTTCCTCCTGCTATTCTTCTTCTGTACTAACTTCCAAATATTTTTTTATGTGGCTTACATTAGGAATTTTACCAACAGTGAATGAGATACGCTATGCTAGGAGCAGTCGGAGAAATATACAGTCCTTACAACCTGACTACACATAAGTTTTGATGCTTTTAAAAATAATTAGAACGGGTCAATAAGATGGTGAAAGGAAATTGGTAAGAACTACCTAAAAGCTAAAGTATAAGAAGAGATTTTAGTTCAAAAATCTTTTAGAAGAAAAAAAGTTACCTGCCGGTACAATTTTTTTAACCTTCCAATCCTCTCCTTCAGTACATATGTAATACCATCGACAGAATTGACGCCTGCTGTAGGAGCCAGCCTCTGAGATGACGCCCCAAAGATCTGCCCCTTTTAGTATTCATTCCCTTGTTTAGTCCTCTCTCTCAGCGAATCAGGGCCAGCCCTGCATGACCAATAGAATCCAATGGAAGTGATGTTGCAGGTCTTCTGAGACTAGCTCATGAGAGGCCCTCCAGCTTCCGCCTTGGTCTCTTGGAACGCTCACTCTTGGAGCCCTCAGCACGATATAGGAAGTCCCACCACCCCAAGGCCCCCTGGCGGGAGAGATCACATGGGGAGGCCCTGAGATTTCTATAGAAGGATTCCTGGCCAATCCCTCAGCCATTCGAGCCATCCCAGCTGAGGCTCTGGATGTAGCATGGAACAGACAAGTTGTCCCCACTGAGCTCTGCGTAAATTGCAGATTCAAAATAATAAATTGCGATAACGATAAATTGCAGAATAAATAACCATTGTTTTAAGCCATTAAGCTCCACATGGTTTGTTAGGCAGCAACAAATAATGAAAAGACTCCTCCTTTCCTTCTCCTTCGCTTGCTGTCAAGTGTTTCCTTAGGAGTGCAGAGTGAGCAAGCACGTGTCAGGTCAACTCAAAAATAGGGACTTTTCCAGCCGTTGTTGCTGAAGCAACTTACGTATTCATGCTGTGGAGATATACCCCATCAGGACTGTCTTCTGAGCGGCAACTGTGTCACTTCCATGGTCAAGACGCACAAGCGACCCAGACCATCTCTGGAACCTGTGGCCAGGAGCAAACTCACAACCCAGCTTTTTAATATAGATGAATATATCCATTCAGCGGAACACGGAGGGCTGCTTTCTACAGAAAAGAAGTCACAAGCGTATAAGCAGCAGGAGGGGTACAGGAGAAAGAGCAACCAACTTTTGCCTGGACTCTGTGGAGTCAGAGATGCCAGCACGCGTTCCCTTTCGGGCCCTGCTCCCCACCCGTGTTTGTAATATGGCGCCCACCCCTGCAGCTGCGGCGATTAGACCGGTGGGTACACTTGACTGACGGGCAACCGTTCTACTATTGATTGGCCAGCAATTTATCTGGTTCTCTCGCTTCGAGAATCTGAACTGATATAAAGAGACCGTGGCAGGCCCTTGGATGGAAAGGCTATGAGGAATCAGAGTGGGATGGCTGTTCTTCAGCCATGTGTATGCTGACGAGCATGTAAGTAAAGAGAGCTGGTTTGCAGGGGCGGGCGGGGACAGTAGTGATGAGAGTCACGGGGGGGGGGGGGGGGGGGGGCGAGGGGCCGGGGGATGAGTAAGAGTGAGAGAAAGAAAGAGCATGAGAAAGCTCTAGCACTGGCTCTGTTCATTGGCTTTCTAGTCCCTAGTTTGCGAAATTAAATTAAAATTTCCTTTCTTTTATCTTTGGTCGAGAGTGACGGTGGGATAGGATTTAATAGAAAGGGGACTTTGTCTTCACTTTTATTTAAGGATCCCTGAAAAGATCCCTGTTGGACATAGATTTTGTTTTAGGTCTGACTTTTTCGTGAATGAATACTCCAAAACTCTGAGAGTTTTCGGATTGTTTCTTAAAATTAGTTATGCTGTTTGTTCATTCAGAGGCACAGCATCGCTGTGGGACGGAGCTCCCATAGGCATCAGAAGGCCTGAGGAGATACGTCTTTATTTCAGATGAATCAGAGAGGAACAAACTGAGGGCAGGAGGGAGCACTGGCCAACACAGGCTCTGAGTTTTTCTAGTCCCTGTTCGGCCACTCTCTTTGTGACCACAGATTAGTCCCATCACCTCTATGGACCTCTGTTCCCCTCACTGTACTACGTGGTGGTCACAATTTTAACATTCCATGACTATAAAATATCCAGGATCCTTAACGAAAACGTCCTCACATAGACCTTTCATCTCACTCTGAAAAAGAAAAAGTGTGTGCTGAGGAAAGGCTCTATTGCCTAAGATCTGGAACTTAAATTTGCAGTAATTTCTAATACTTGAGCACATGCACTTTTCTTCCTGATTCTGCAATAAAGGACAGGAAGTAAAAAAGGGAACATTCTTAATGCTCAAGTTAAGTCAGAGACTCATTTAGGATATACACTAGATGTGATCAAGTGTGAGAAAGTAAAAAGATAACCACATTTTTTTTTCTTTTTGAGGAAGATTAGCCCTGAGCTAACTGCTGCCAATCCTCCTCTTTTTGCTGAGGAAGGCTGGCCCTGAGCTACTATCCGTGCCCATCTTCCTCCGCTTTCTATGTGGCACGCCTACCACAGCGTGGCTGGCCAAGCGGTGCCATGTCCGCACCCGGGACCCGAAATGGGTCCGCACCCGCGATCCGAACTGGCGAACCCGGCCGCGGAAGCGGAATGTGCGCACTTAATCGCTGCGCCACCCGGCGGCCCCAAGATAGCCATATTTGAACCTGAACCAATCAGCGTGTGATGTCCTACCAAGACGTCAAAGTATTTTGCTCAGAGAATTAAACCAACAACTTACCTTTTCTATTACATAAGCAATACATTTGTATTGTAGTAAATTCAGCCCAAGTATAACAAATGTTCATATTTAGTGTATATATTTTTAATATCTTCAGGTAAATCCTGAAACCATTTGCTTAGAACTTACCTGATTGTTTATATGGCAATGCTTAGGTCCTTGACTAAGCTATAAACTTCGTGAGGCAAATCCATTTACCATAACTCCACCCCTCTCCTCCGCACACACACACACATAGACAGTTTAGTCACTTTCTTTGAAAATATGGAAAAGGTTATAAATGCTAGTGTGTAGGTATTCATTCATGCATTCATTTGACAAACGTTTTATTGAGTACCTAGTGTGGAGTTGGGCCAGGCCTTTAAGACAGGGCATGTACATTTTTGGTCTCAAGAAATTCACAGTTCCCATAGGGAGAGGATACGCAAATAATTGTTTTACTAAGTACAAGTGCAACTTTACAATGACACGTGGAAGTATTAAGAAAGTACACAAGAGAGGGCAAAGAGGGTTGGGGAGGCTGTTGGGGGAAGTTTCCTGAGCGGGCAACACTGGCCAGACGATGTGGGTGCGGAGGACGGGCGATGAGGGGAGAAGGGGAGTGAGGAACGCGAATTTCAGGGCCCCTTCCTGTATCAGCAGCAATTCCTTTTCCCTCACCACTTGCATCATAAATCTGAAGTCTAACGTTGCATCACGGATCCCTCCCGCGCCTAGAACTTGGACACTGAGAACCAAGGGCAAACAGACGGGACCGCCGAGCGGGCACCGCAAGCAGCTGGAGAGCCCCACTAATTCCTAGAAGGGGCGGGGCAGCGCGGGGGCCGGGGCGGGTGGGCCCGCCCCTGGGGGCTGGTGCAGGAGCCGGGCGTGGAATGGTTGTGCGCTTACGTCGACCTCTGTTCATAGGCCGCGCGGTGCTGCTTGCAGACTTTGATTGGCTCACCGGGCGCCGAGCGGTCATTGGCTGCGGTGGGTTGTCAGGGCGACTGGGAGGAAAAAGAGCAGGGGTGTTGGGCCTGACGGCGAGCGGAGGCTGCAGAAGGCTGGGCGGAGAGCTGGGGGCCCCGGGCGTCCGCGATTCACGCCGCACTCCGGGAGGGGCCTGAGCGAGCGGGCGGGCGAGGAGGAGCGGCCGGAGAGCCCCGCGGGTCGGGACCATGGGCTGCTTCTTCTCGAAGAGGCGGAAGGCTGAGAAGGAGCCGAAGAAGACCGAGGGCGGAGAGAAGCCACCGAAGCAGTACAGCTGGGACCAGCGCGAGAAGGTGAGCAGAGTCCGTCGCCGCTGGGCTCAGCCCTCCCGATCCTCTCCGCGACGGGCCCTTGCGGCTCCCTCGCTCGCTCTCACGCGGGTAGTTGAAGTCGCAGTGAATGACTTTGCGAGGAGGGCGCCCCGGAGGGCTGGGAAGCGCTGGAGGGGGCCTGAGTGCGCCTTGTCCAGGGCATGGACCCCTGGGGGCTTTCTCTGTGCTCTGCACCCTGACCTCCCGTCCAAGGAGGGGATCGAGAGAAGGAAGGAGAGCAGCGAATGCCCCGATCTCAGATCTGCTCGTTTCACCCGCAGCGCCCAGCGGGGTTTCGTCCAGTCCTCGAGTTACACTTGGGACTGATTCTCATCTCTTTCGCGGCTTCTGTTCTTTCTGTGGCTTTCTCTTTTGTCTCTCTAGCCGGTAAATCTCTTCGGCGCCTGATAGTATGTCCACTGCTGAATTTTCTGTTACGAAGCGGACTGTTGAACGTACAGCTCTGCCCTCCCTCCTCTTCCAGTTACCCGAAAGGAATAATGAAAATCGAATCCGCCTTGGAATGTCTGTTAAGAGTGAAAGGTGAAAATAACCAGCATAAACCAGGCAGTATTTTACTATCGCTATAAGTGAATGAAAACGCCCTTATTTCTAATTTTATATGTAGCCAGAAACAAAAAAGCTTTGGAAATGTCCACTAGTCTTGCTCAAAACTCACTTAGTCATAAATTTCATAATGCTTCCTCTTTCTACATAGTTCTCCATTTGTGTTTAGTAAAATATTTGGATAGACTTATCAATTATTTTTGTCTTCCAGACAAAATGAGGTTTTTAAATGAGTGTTATGAACAGTTAACTCCTTGCTTAATGCAACATATCTTTATCCATGAATACTTTGTAGTAAATTTCTAATTAATGTCTTGATTTCATAGATCTTCCTGTGTGATTTCCAATCCCCAGCAGCATTTATTCATGTAAACCTGATTCTCCAAGAGTCGGATTTAAGAAATTGGACACTTTTTGCAGACTTCTCAGCCCCATCTTTCTGCCCCTGTTTCTCAGATCCTCCTCGGTATATTTATTATCTCGTATCCATACTTGATAGCAACGTTTTATAATGTAGGAATGGAAAGTACTGTGCTTTCTGTCGTACGAGAAGATTGCACCTATCATTTAAAGTCATTTGGTGGACAGCTTTTAAAAGATTCATTTCCTCATCCTTACTATTTCTGACAATATTCTTTAAGCTTAACTGTCTGCCATAGAGAAGATTGTGTATTTTATTTTTATTTTAGCTTTTTGTTTTGAAATCATAGGCTAAAACTAAAGTGCTTTTAGTTTTTTATTTAGAGTAGTCTTGGTTGCCCTCTGACTCATTACTTCATAATAAATTGTCTTACAGTTAACCTTTCTTAACGTAATGTTTGGGTTAATTGGAATCTCGCATGTTAATCTTTGTCCTTTTAGATAAATGGATGTGTTCTGTGACTTTTTCTTTTGCTCTTTGGCTAAGTAAACACATTGGAAAATAGAATAGTGGACACCAACATCTAAACCCCCCCGCTCCCTCAATGAGCGTACGGTAAACTTTCCATTGTAGACATTGTTTTGAGCTTACAGGGAACGTTTTTGGGGAACACTGCTAGATACTGTAGTTGTAGAGGTGTAAGAGATGTTACTGGAAATATAAAATAAGTTCATGCTTCTGCATATGTGTATAGTAAAAGTTAAAATCTTGATCAACTCAACTAATCAAAATTTTTCTAACTAAATGAGCATTATATTCCGAAAACAACCCAATTTAAAAATCCTTTGGGGGCCGGCCTGGTGGCGCAGTGGTTAAAGTGCGCGCGCTCCGCTTGGGCGGCCCAGGGTTTGCAGGTTCGGATCCTGGGCGGGGACATGGCACCGCTTGGCAAGCCGTGCTGTGGCAGGCGTCCCACATATAGAGGAAGATGGGCACGGATGTTAGCTCAGGGCCAGTCTTCCTCAGCAAAAAGAGGAGGATTGGCAGTGGATGTTAGCTCAGAGCTAATCTTCCTCAAAAAAAAAAATCTTTTGGACTATTAAAGAGAATTCCCAGCTTACGTTTTTTTTTAATTTTATTTTTCCTTTTTCTCCCAAAGCCCCCCAGTACATAGTTGTGTATTTTAGTTGTGGGTCCTTCTAGTTATGGCATGTGGGACGCCGCCTCAGTGTGGCTCAGTGAGCGGTGCCATGTCCGTGCCCAGCATCTGAACCGGCGAAACCCCGGGCCGCCGAAGCGGAGCGCGCGCACTTAACCACTCGGCCACCGGGCCGCCCCGGGCCGCGCCCCACCCCCCCGCTTACATTTTGAAACAATGCAGATACCACATTTCCCAACATTGCTTTTTCTTTTGGGAATTTTTCTTTTTCTTTTGGAATGACTAGGGTGCCTCATTTATGACAGACTGCTACATTTTATATGATTTTGAAGATTTTTTTTTCCCTAGTTCCTTACCTCTCCTGAGGCCGATTTGGCTAGTGTACAAATGTTCTGTGTTAGCCTAATGATACTTTTACTGATACTTGTTTGCTCTTAGAAGAGTTTAATTGTACCTTAAAAGGAATAGAATGCAAATACAGTCCAGAGAACATAAATGAGATATATTGTATATACATTAACAGAATGGTTTGTATTAAAAGTTTAGGCTTCTATAATGTGATCCTGGAGTATAGCATATATAATTTTAAAGTTATGCTAGACAATTACCATTCAATTTATAAGACTTTAGGTCTAAAAACAAAATTCGTTGGCTGAAAAGTTTCCTTTGCAACTTGGAAAAGTGGTGTTTAAATTTTTCCTTAGGTTGTGTAATCAGAGTATCTTTATGGAGAGGCACCCTCTGGGTTTTGGTTTTTGAGTTGTGTAATTGGGTCAGTCTTAGGGGACTGAAGCTAGGAGAAATTGTCTCAATTAGAAAGAATGTTTGGAGACTAAAGGTTGTCATGGCAACTGATATACTGTAATCAACAGTGTGAGAAGCTCATTTCTATGGCTGCTGACTTTGAAAAAGAAAAAAGTTTACTGTACAATTACTACATTGACATGATGAGAAATATTTTTTGATTGTAAGATATGTGTTTAAATCATTTGGAAAGAAGTGCCTTTATCCTCATCTGTATGCTGTCTCCCATAGCCAGGCAAATCATTCAGTATGTATGTACTGAAACACCAAGGAAGACTCAAAATTCTAAGAATGATCCCTGCCCCGAAGAGCTGACTGGCTTTCTTGAGTTAAAATAGGAAATATTTAAGTACGAACAAGGGGAGGATGAGTGGTGCAGAAAAGTAGTTTTCATTTTCCAGTTATTCATACCAATACTCCTTCTCCTAGATGATAGAAATGAGGATTAGTCTTCTAAACAATGATGGCATAAGTATGAAAATTGTGAGTTTGAGTATGGACAACACATCCTGTATCCATTACATTTGTCTCATATTCGATAGAAATAATACTAAACAAAAGCTTTATACCAGAGATTCAAGTAACTGCATTTTATTCAATACCTGTTGTGTAACTTTGGAGAAAGTTGGACATTGCAGGCTCCTTGGCTATAAAATGGAACAGTGCTAAAGATTTCTGTACTATTTAATAAGGTCAAGGCCTGTCCTGAGGAAGAGAGGTTAGACGGTAATGTTACCACTGAGGATAAGACTCGGACCAGAGACGGAGCAGGACAGAACGAGTCTGAACATAAGGCAGGTCATAATTCCCAGAGTTGTTCATCAGTGGGAGGGGTGGCTTTGTGAGGACCTGATTTCCAAGGTAGTCAAAACGTTCAGACAGAGGTTGGAGAGTGACCTACTGGAAAGAAGCGTCTGCACTGAGTAGGGGGCTAGATGCTACTTTTAGCCTTTCAAGTATATAAGGTATTCTAGTTATCCATTGCTGCATACCAAACCACCCCAAAACGTCATGGCTTAGAATAATGGTAAGTACTTATTGTGTTGCCAACTCTGCAGTTTGTGTGGGGCTTAGCAGGGTTGGCTCTCTGCTCTACGTGGCATCACCTGCGGCAGCCTGACTGGGAACCAGAGGACCTGCTTTCAATATGGCTTAATCGCAGAGCTGGCTGGCGAGTTGATGCTGGCTTTCTGCTGGGACTGAGGGCCCGGGGCCTCTTCATGGAGCCCGGGCTTCCTCACAGTGTGATGGCCGGGTGCCAAGGGTGAGTGTCCTAAGAGAGACTGGCAGAAGCGGCGTGGCTTTTTCTAACTAGCCTCTGAAGTGACCTAGTGTTACTTCTGCCACATTCTGTTGGTTGAGGCAATCACACATGTCCAACCAGGTCCAAGGGGAGGGGACTTCTTGATGGGAGGATTGTCAAAGAATTTGTCAACATGCTTTAAAATCCTTTACATAAAGTTGTTGTGTTTTAACGGCAATAGCTAGTTCTTTGTTTATTCATTTTAAAAGTAGCTTTATTGAGATGTAATTCATATACCATATAATTCACTCATTTAAAGTGTACAACTCAATAGTTTTAATAAGTTCACAGGGTTATGTTACTACCATCACTATGATCTAATTTTAGAACATTTCCATCCCCGCGAAGGAAACTCGCACTCTCGTTAGCACTTCCTCCGCACCACGCGCTCCTCCCAGCCCCTGGAAACCACAATTTTACTTTCAATCTCTATAGGTTTGCCTATTTTGGACATTTCATATCAATAAAATCATACAATACGTGGTCTTTTGTTACTGGCTTCTTTCACATGGCACGTTTTTGAGATTCATCCATATTGTAGCATGTATCACTACTTTATTCCTTTTTATTGCTGAGTAACATTCCACAGAATAGATATATTATTTTTTTTTAAAGATTGGCACCCGAGCTAACAACTGTTGCCTATCTTCTTTTTTTTTTTTCTGCTTTATCTTCCCCAACCCCCCGTACACAGTTGTATATCTTAGTTGCAGGTCTTTCTAGTTGTGGGATGTGGGACGCTGCCTTAACGTGGCCTGACAAGCGGTGCCATGTCCGCGCCCAGGAGC